CTTGATTTTTTATTAAATTAAGGTTTGGCCATTTGACCACTATTGTTGTGATCAAGTCAAATCTATGCACTCAATTAGTCAAAAAGATAATTATATAATAACTTTCGTGTATTTGATTATAGGATTAGTGAATTTTGCTATTTTAATTAATTGAAAACTGTGACAATACGATTCAATATTTCACAAATACGAAATTTAAATTTATATTTTAACATCAATAAGAACTTGAAAATTTATTTTTGCTTGGTCAATCAACATTTATTTATTTTGTAATGAAATATGAATTTTTCGAAAAACCTATTCTTCATTTTATGTCATTTTTTTTTTTCTACAATTCTACTAATACAATTATTAAATAAAGACCACTTCATTTTCTTTTCTTTTCTTTTACAAGTGAAATTATTCATATAGCGATAAACATTTGTTTGCTTCGCTTCATTTGAGTTTACAAGGTAAAAATATCATACTTTATTTGAGTTTACAAAGGAAACATCATACTAAACTTGGGGAAAATTTGGTGTCTGGAAATAAAAAAATAAATTGCATTCTATAACTATATAAAAATTTAGAGGGATAAAATTATAAATGCTAGTTTCCAATCAATGAATTAGGAAGTCACAATGAATTGAAGGGCAAAAATCTTGATAAGCTACGTTAAATAGATGAGATATGTTAGATATAAATCTTGATAAGCTACGTTAACTACCGCTATTCACAATGAATTGAAGGGCAAAAATCTTTAGATACAAACGATTACAAGATAAAAGGCTGTGTACAATTTTAAATTAAACTTTTTGAATTTTGCAACACTGTTCAGTATTCACAATTATCCATGTTATATAAAATGAAGAATTACTTATTTTCATCTATATAAAGTAAAATTAAAGCTAATCTACCAATATTATTTTAAAATAACAAATGCGTCTTAAGTTAGCTTAAAATAACAAAATTAAAACCTTGCATTTTGACATATTTGGTTCATATGAGTGTAAAATATATGTGCTAAGATATAAACATAAAAGTGGAATAGAAAACTATTACAAGCAAAAAATGTTTGGCATCAAATAAATTACTAACTATTGTCGATCAAACTATTATTCACTTGAGACCAATAGGTCAAAGTTCGAGTCATATAATGGGTAAGTGGGAAAACACTATTGATCCTCTTTAAATAAGAGGAAAAAAAATAAGAACTATTATGTTAATTATGGCTTGAAAAGCAAAATAAAAATCATTCATAGCATATACTTTCAAATTTGAAAAATTTAATTATAATAATTTATCAAATGTTATAGCTTGTAGGCATTATGCATATGTATGATCGCATTATTTTGTCCATGAAGTTGCATTAAAAATTTGCAACAAGGTTCAAAAGAATAAATAGGTATTAGGTAGTCAAAAATAACATTTGGTATGAAATTATATAATTCCTGGATGTGGTAATAACTGTATAAACATCCTGCAAACTTGGAAACAAACTAACAAGAACACAATAAATAATTTGAAATGAAGATCCCAACACACATAATCCCTATAAAGATCCAAATATACAAAAAAACAAAAAAAACAAAAACAAAAAATCTGCTCAAAAGGGTTTCAAAATAAGTTAACAACATAATGTTACATCTTAAACTTTTCCCCCTCTCAACAAAGATGAAATGGAGATACCTCTAGTCCATGCCTGGCATTGGGACCATCATATGTTGAGCTTGTGGCTAAAATCATACAAGTGGGAAAACATTAAGAATCATATCCGCCAAGTCACGATAAGAAAATTCACACGCCACAAAATATAACGACAACAAAAGAGTGAGTCGTGCAGCACACACGTGTCGATCCATTCCATACTACCAATTTTTTCAAGAGTCATGCTATGCTATTAAAATGATTTATAGATTGAGTGTTACCGCAGATACACATGGCAAACATCCATTACGCTTCTAATTACAATGTTACCAAAGCCAACACATAATTCGGTAACCCAATTGGTAAACTAAAGTAGATTATTAACTCAACCTCTGAAAGAGATCAACAATCAGAGATACTGCATGGTACATTCGAAATTCCGAATCAAGTTCAAGGGAAAAAACGAAATTTGAAAGGCGGTTCTTTTAGCAGCAAGTGAGAATGTGACCTTTGATGCCCCTAAAGCTAATATGTCTTATTCCAAGTCTAAACAATATATTGGTACACAAAGAATATGATTCTACAACATAACAAACATCTTGGTATGGAGAATATATGTGCGTGAGAATTTAGTTGAAAACAGAGAACGTATGCTCGCTTGAAAGGAAACAATATGACATTCACCATGTTTCTATAAAAGCCTTGTTGTCTTAAAATCATTGAAAGAAAAATACACATATTGGGTAGCTCAGAGAAAGAAATCATTCTCTCATTTAATTATGTGTGATGAATGCATGTTGGCAAGCAGCCATGCACTAAGCAAGAATCCCGACAATTTTAACAGTTAGATTAACAGAATTTGTATGAAAATACCCATTGCAATAAATGGACCTCACGTACAGCAATGGGAAAAACAGAGCGATAGCGAACATGATGTGCACCATGCAGGAAATAATGAGTTAACAAAAACATATATCGTGATTTTACAAATAACTGAACAAATATGTTGGCACACGGAGAAAAACATACATCGTGATTTACTGATTTTACAAATAATGAATAAATATATTGGCACACGGAGAAAAGTTCATGTAAGAAAGTCACATTTGTAGGTTACCTGTGAGCTAGGATTAGGACAATCCTTCTTGGAAGATCCATCTGCAGCCTTAGCAGATCCCTTAGTGTCACCCTGTTAAGAAATGTGACTAATCATGTTCAAGTTGAAATGAAAACACTGACATCGAAAAGCTGTTATAAAAACAAATTCACTTACCTCCATCTACCAGTCCACGAGCAGTCAGATTAAACACGAAACAAAGGACAAAAAGAACAACATATAAAAGCTCCGTCAGTTGCAAAATAGAAAAGTTCGAAAAATGCAATCAAGAAAAAGCCACAGGACAATTACCTCTCTGTACCTAGTGAGGTACGCCTTGAGCGGATCAATGTAGTCCTCGAAACCTAGTGTCGCCATTGCCCATAGCAAATCATCACCATTGATAGTCTTTCTCTTCTCTCTCTGGCACTTATCACTTGCCCTACGCATTCAGTCACCCAAAAAAACCCTTCTTATGTTCACAGCAGCAAATGAAATTATGTACACACGAATCAACATTTCAACACAGACCTCCCGAAATAGATAAACATCACGGTACACAATACAGTACGAATCGTGCAAACACTGGACAACCATACACAGAGTTGAACTAACCATTCATTTCAAACGTCATATACGAGACAGAAAAGCATGATCGAACAGGAATTCATTCAAACACACACACACACATACACTACACATAGCTCCAAAACAAGACACACCAAAAAATTATCCCCAAATGCTCGTCCACTAGCACCCCAAATCCCCAATCAATCCACCNACGAGTTGAAAACACCATACTCGCTAGTGATGAAGCTAATGAACTCCGACACGCATTCCTGAACGGTCTCCTTGGCATCCTTGGCGATCTTCCCGTTGGCCGGGACCCCCTTCTTCATGATCCGGCTGATATTCGCGATCGGCAGGAACCTGTCCTGCTCGCGGACGCCGGATCGCGGGCTCTGGTCGCCGCCGCTCTCGTTGCTGCCGCCTGCGGGGCTCCCCGGCGCTCCCTGACCTTCCGCCATCGAGATTCGGGACAAAACCCTAACATTTTCAATTCCAAAAACCAGCTTCACGAGAGGCCTAAGCTAGCTAGAATCGACATACATAAACATATCGAAATTCGAGAGATAAATTACCTGTGGAGATTTATTTGTATTTTTTGGCGCGAGCAGTTGATCGGAGGGTGGAGAAATTGTGGAGGAGACGAGACGACGACTGAGATTGAGAGATTCGAAAGAAAGAGGAATTTGGGGATTTTTATTTTAGGTTTCATCGGCACCGTTGGTTTCTTATCGTGTACGTTTCTAATCGTGATGAGATCGACGGACTACTTAATTTCAGTTATCAGTGTTTTTATTTATCAGTATCCTCAATGAAATTAGAGATTTGAATATCTTTCGAATTTAAAAAATCATAATTTAGAAAAACATGAGTAGATAGATTATTTTTATATTAATAATATTCACATATTAGAAACTAGTTAATTCTATAACATTTTTGATAGTTTATTAATCTAATTAGCTATTAAAAATTGCCAATTCAATCGATTGTATGTTATCGGCTAATTTAATTAGCTAATTAATTCAATCGATTGTTCAAAAGTGCTAATTTTTATGAGTTATTCATTATCACTATATATTATAAACAGGTATTTGTTACCTGCTATTTACTATTTGTTATCTTATAAAATAAGCTGCTTCGATCTTACTCTTAGCTATCTAATCAAATCAACTAGGTAAAATTGATAATTCAATTAGATGAATTATTCAGTATTGTCTAATTTAAATAGTTATTCAACATATGGTGTTTAATCCAACATCTAAAGTTATCTGCCATACAATTCAATCAATTAATCAAAATTGTTAATCATTTAAATTGCTAGTTGATTGAGTTATGATCTACCGTTTAATTTATTAGTTAATTAGTCGTCGATTGTCTGTACATGCATGGATACAAATAAAATGTTATAAGTTATAAGTTAAATAATGGGGATCGCAATAAAATTTTAACTGTAAAACGAAACAATATAAATATAAGTTTTATAAATTACGAATCACTATATTTATGACGTAAATTGTAATAAATAAAATAATTCTTATAATTTTGGAAGATCGTGACCAACTATGAAAAATATCGTCGTCGTTGTTATTATTGTTGTTGCTAATTTGAAAGAAAAACCGCTTAATGATATGAAAATAATAATATTAAATAATTATATTTTTATTGATTTTAATATATTATAAGTACTAACAAATAATAAAGTCACATTAATTAATATTATATTCTACAATATATTTTAAATTATTTATTTAAAATTGTTAGTTATTTCAAATAATAAAGTCACATTAATTAATATTATATTCTACAATATATTTTAAACTATTTATTTAAAATTATTATTTATTTGTTTTTTCAACTTATTAGCAAGTTTTATTTTATTAAAACTTCATACACAAATACACAGTGCTATAATAATAATTTCAATATTATTTTATCTAATCAACTTATCATAATCAGCCAATATTACAAAAATATATATTGCAATTAATATAAAGATTTATATGTAAGTTAATAATTTATATTTGAATCGTTTATTTTTACTAACGATAATATTTATAAAATGTGATATATGACCACTCAATTATGAATTTGAGACACAAAAGAGAGGAACAAAGTAACTCGACTTTAAAGAGATGAATGAAATAATGCTCAGTATCCAACTTATTATTTTACATATTACATAAATATTTATATATCACATAAATTTTTTTTGCATCTGTAGATGTGTACATGATTGAATACTAGTTATAATAATAAGCCTGAAGACAAAATTTGCCATAAAACTTTTGATAAGTATGTAACTTTCTTATATATATAATTGGATAGAACTATTATGTAATAGAATAGTTAAAAAAGATGGTTACACTTAAATTAATTTAAAACACGATGATTAATTTCTATAATTACATGAAAAAATTGTTGATTGTTGTTTAATTTGTTACATTTCATGTTTGATTAATGAACGGTAATGTGAAAAAATAAAAAGTATTGCAACAATATTTTTCCTATCCTGAAAAATGTAGCAGTTACTTTTCATGTTTAGAGGAAAAATGAGCAGAAACAGCACTAAGCTACAAAAAGTCAAAAACCGAACACAACTTAAAAATAACTCGACTCGATTTTTCTATACATTTTATTTAAGTTTGGTGCAAAACAACACCAAATCAAACAAAATAAAAATGTAGGATAAAACAAATTAAAACTAGCTAATTCAAAGATCCATCATGTAAATTAAAACTTAAATTATTTATAATATCATTGATATCTTGGGTATAATAAAATTAATTAGCAAATTAACATTGAGCCAAATAATCAATAATATTGAACTAAAATTGTTGGGGTCCAATCCCAAAGGGAAAGCACCCCTCCAAAAATGGGCGTATGCCGCTTAAATGCGGCAAGCACACGGTATTCTTTAGTAAAAGGCGAAAGAATAGTTCGCTCTGTGCTTACCGCGCGGCTGCGTGGTTTATTACAGCATTTGGAGCATGCTTTTATAGCAAAACACTGTCACTACATTTCTTTGACTAACCGATGTGGGACAAGACAACAATTATTTCAAACAAAGTCATATCTGATTAACTAACAAACCTATTGGGCCAACTTCAAGTTGTCATAAATCACCATCATATGACTACCTTTATTGGGCTGGCCCAAGTTGTACATCTTTGACTTTTTAGACCATTTTGTGTTGGTTAGTGCTGAAATTTCACGTTTAATTGTTTAACTGATTAGTCATTTATATTGAATATTTTGTATTTATTTGATTTCACAATAAATCTCCCTATATATAATTTCCGAATGCGTTGAGTCTATGTGGCTGCTTTCTGGTGCTTCGAAATCCTATTTGGCGAAAAACCATTTGGACAATTAATATTGATATTATAAATTAATAATCTTAGGTTCGGTCATTCCATAAATTAAGTTCCGACATTCCATAAATATAATTAAGCCAACTTAGGTAATTTCATAACACTTAATACTAATATAATCCTTTAATTCTTTGTAATCTTACATAGTGCGGCACTAAGTGACTAATATATCCCTGACTTTTGATTTGCTTCCTTCAATCAGTTATTGATATCTTTCCATTTGAAAAAAAAAAAAAAACACACAGGATCTGCGTCTCTGCCTATCATCTGAAGCACCACTTCATGATTTCCCACTAATCACACTGTTGATTATATTCCCCGATCGTCCCCGACCGTCCGAAACCATGGCTCTAGTTTTAATTCCTTCAAGCACCATTCATTCAAATCGGAAAAGGCCAATGATTTTAAAACTCCGACTGCTACTTCCTCCGATTGTTGGAGAATCTGTTGCCGCACGATCTCCTTGGCCGAGGTTGGTGTTGCAATGCTCACAGGTACTAAGTCGACTGCCCTTTATTTTTATCATATTGATTTAGCCGTATTCTGAAGTTTTAGCATGGTGTTTATTTTTATCATATTGATTTTAGCACGGTGTTTATCATATTCGACTGTCGATTTATCATATTGATTTAGCCGTATTCTGAATTTTTATCACTTTGAGTATATTTATAATTTTATTGCATGGTTGTTTAGAAGTGCGTCTCCGTTTGTCAACAATTGAAAGCCACCAATGCATGATTGAAGATTTCAGTGCACATGTGGAATGTCCTCTTTAGATATGAATGTGACTGCAATTGTGCACAATTCAATCTCTAAAGCTGTGACTGGGAGTTCCACAAACTGAACACATAACTGCGCAATGTAATTTGAATTGATTATTTTCTCTGTAAGTTTACCAGGGATATTGAGTACCTAACTTTTTGAAGTATTCAGACTTTCAAATCAGTTTTTTTAGTTTTTAAAAAGGAATGAATTAGCTTTATATGCCTTTGGTATGTAATAAGGTATCACTCCTGTCTCAAATTAGCTTAATAGTTCTGAATCAACTAGGGCAAATTATTTTATAACTTTGATTAGCAGATACTACTTTGTACAGTTACTCCAAGTTGTATGACATGTTATCAAAAGTTGTAGATTGATAAAATTTCATTTCAAGAACAAATCTGCCAAGACCAAATAAGTGATGGTCGACTGAACATATTTTGTTATATGCATCTAATTGTACGTGTTAGAATGAGCTGGATTCATTTTTGTAGATAAATAGTTGATGCAACAATACTGATCATGCTCAAGTAAAGTGTGACACATGAAAAAATTGAGTGGCTTTAATTTTCTCATGTCTAATGTAATCAGGTTTCATAAGGGACAACTACTGATGAAAATTGTTGTATGTGAAATACAATAACAATATTTAGTGCTGCAATTTTGATTAAGATGGACCATATGTATGGTTTCAAAATCTTGCTGTAAGCTTGTATACTTAATGTAGATTGGTGTGCAGCCAGTTTATATATTAATGAATGTTGGTTTAGATATGATCATATGTTTATGGATAATGTATGATTATGCATTTATGACTCTGTTTAGGGTGCAGGGAAAGGTTATATTGAATTAAATAGTTGAAAACATATATTTGAAGTTTCAATTTTATGGATTTAGTTGATGTTCTGGGATTTGTATTCCTTCATAAACTGTTCGTTTTCTTCATAATAGTTATTTTTAAGACCAGCTGAATTTGGTGATATTTATTTTTAGCGGAGAATCTATTGATTGTACTTTGGAGAACGAATTTGCAATCCAAATGGCTGAATATTGGAATAACAAAAAAGGCGATCTAGTAGTCATCATTTTTCAACATGCTATGGTCAAGAATGGGAATATTGTAAATCGAACTAATAACGTTGTACACCGAGAAGTTTTTCAAAATTTAAAATAATATTACAATTTCTGTTTTTATTTTATTATTTATTTTTTATCCTTATTTTTATATTATTATGTAAATTATTGTAGTTCTATCTTTTGTGAAACATAATTTCTTTTAATCACTCGTGTATTACACGGGTGTTGTACTAGTTAACAACTAAAGGATCACACACCTCAGCTAACATCCTAGTGATCCATTAGATAATTCCCACAATTAATAAAAAGTGAGGAAAAAATGAACAGTAGGCGAATAACGACAAAAAAATATCACATTTTTTATTTGCTTATTGGCATCCATTGTCACCCATCGTCCTGCATGCTTTGTGGTGAACAACCTGAGACCACATAACACCTCCTTTTCCAATGTCCAAGGGCAGTAATAGTCTGGAAACTATCTCCTGTGCAATGGGATAACCTATCCCACTTTCATGGACAATTCAAACACTGGTGGACAACCCTTTGCTTGATCAGGAAGGACAAGGTAGTGGATGACAGAGTGCAACTTTCTACATATATCCTGTGGCAACTATGGAAAACTCGCAACCTTTAGGTGTTCCAACATATCATGACCCAGAGAGGGTCATTGTGGAGGTTGCTGTGAAAGAATGGTTGGAGTACTGTTCCTCTGTATCTCATCAGTAGACCTTGCTGTTGTTTTTAGTTAGTATGTTTTCTGTTTTTTC